AAGCTATTCTAGACGATCTCGAAAAGGTTAAGTTACGACCAGTACATCAAATAAAAGCCGATGTAGAAGAATTTTTTGCTGATTATAATTTGAATTCATTCGAAGATTCCGATATTTCAATTAGTTGCAGCTCCATTAAAACGCTTAGCAATACAGGTTATTATTTAATAATTTGTAAATTCAGTTATTATAATTTTCTATGACATATGTGAGCAATGAGCTTATTAATTAAAAACTTTAATATTAGGTACTCTTAAGGACCTAAGAAATAAGGTTCAATCATACTTTCAAGAAGGAGAATTTGTAAAGGCATTGGAACTTTGGGAAGTTATTCTTAATGATCCTCAACACATGCTAGAAGATCGGAGAAATGCATCGATATGGTATCTTAAAAACAGATTTATAGATTATTCGGCAGGAAAAAAATTGGCTGAGGCTCTATGCAAAAATACCACCCTGACGGAATTGAACATGACACATAACCAAATTGGAGAATCGACAGGAAAAGCACTGGCTGGGGCTTTATGCAAGAATACCACCCTGACTAATTTAGATTTGGCAAGTAATGGTTTAGGAGAATTGGCAGGAAAAGCACTGGCTGATGCTTTATGCAAGAATACCACCCTGACTTATTTGAATTTATACGATAACAAAATAGGAGAAACGGCAGGGAGAGCACTAGCTGAGGCTCTTTGCAAGAATACCACCCTGACTAATTTGAATTTATACGATAACAAAATAGGAGAATCGGCAGGAAAAGCACTGGCTGAGGCTCTATGCAAGAATACCACCCTGACTAATTTAGATTTGACAAGTAATGGTTTAGGAGAATCGGCAGGAAAAGCACTGGCTGATGCTCTATGCAAGAATACCACACTGACTTATTTGAATTTATACGATAACAAAATAGGAGAATTGGCAGGAAAAGCACTGGCCGAGGCTCTTTGCAAAAATACCATTCTGACTAATTTAAATTTATACAATAACAAAATAGGAGAAACGGCAGGAAAAGCACTGGCTGAGGCTCTATACAAGAATACCACCCTGACTAATTTGAATTTATATAACAATCCAATAGGAGAATTGGCAAAAAAAGCATTGACTGAAGTTAAGACTCGAAAAAGTAGTATCTATATTAGTTTCTAAACCAATCAATAAGATAGATAGTTTGGATTCACAAAGTTTTATATTTTAATTTAGTCGTTTTGGGATCATTGTGGAAAATTTCAGAAATTTAATACTCCAAGCAGATTTTTTTTATAATTTTAGGATAGCCGAGGTATGGGTTGTCATAAAACTTGTTTATTTTTAGATCAAAATATAACGATTACAATTAATTATGTAACCTGTATAATAAATTATTTCAATTACACTGGTAAAATTTATTTATATTCATTGTGCAAATGTATATTTTGACATATATAACTAAGGCTTGGATCTCTTTTTTGTCTAAATTACTCATTACACCATTATCGTCGATAGTCTTTTTTAGCCAGAAATAATATTATATTATGGCGTCTGAGTTTTATGCTGCCAATGTGAATCAAATTTATTACGCGGTAGTTATATCTCTTCACAGACCTTACATAGATTCCAATCAATACACAGATACAAATTCTCGTAGCATATGCAGAAAGGCAGCTATTGACGTCACTAAGCTTTCAAGTTGCATGAAAATAGATCACGAGATTCTCTTTGCATATAATACCCTCTTGTATTGCCTCTCGCAAGCTGCTACTACACTATATACGTTTTGAATTTTCTTCTCGAGGTAAAATGTACATACAGAATGTATGGAAGCATCCGAAATTTTGCAAAGAAAAGCAACTACTTTATTGGTGTCGTAGATTGTATGACATGTTAAGAACTTTGTTCGAAGTACAACTCAAAAAAGCGAACAAAAGTGGGATAATCGAAAAGTCCCTTACTTAAAAAGTCACTTAAATAGGATTGATGGTGTCCAAAAAAAATGCTTTGGGGAAGGGAGGCCGTGGGGAGGCCAACCAGGTTCAAGAGACGCTGGCACCATTTCCATCGTCCATACACCTGTGGATAACGGTGGCGAAAGAATTGCGTCAATTTCTTATCCAGATATAAAATCAAAAAAGTCTCCAATTTTTCACACTCAGATACTCACAACAAATGTGATTTCTCCTTCACTTCAGCGATTAAACCCTACGCCCGCGGAACAGCTAACTTACGTGACCACCTTATCCCAGAATGCTTCTCACCTATATAAACCCGCTCTCACTTGCAAACACATGCGCATTCTAAAGTTCAACAGCTAGTCAGTATTTAGAAGAAGACTAATTATACTGTATATAGACGTAGCATTAGGTTCAAATGGAATGTTAGCAGGGCCATCTATTATTCCATTTTCAATTTATTATATTATGCAACAAATCCTAAGATTGGAATATTAGGATATGTTGTATCTAGCACAACAACAAAATACAGATATAAATAATTCTTCATTCATAAGACTCCGTTCCAAAGAAATAAAAATTTCTTTGAAATATCCATTTTTTAAAAAATTTAAAAAAAATTTTATTATATTAATATATTAATAATTTATTTATAAAAACTATAACCTAATACGTAATATTTTTTATATAAATCTTCGCTAATTTAGATTTATTAATTTAATTCAATTTTTTTACTATTTAAATAAGTTTTTATTTAAAATATTACAAAAAATAACAATTATATTTAAAAATTTAATTATTTGGATTTAAATTATATATATACAGTGATCCAAAATTATTTGGAATTTTACTTAATATATATAAATCAGTAAAAATTTATCTAAATTAAATAAAAATTTAAATATAAATATATAAATATTATAAAATTACTTTTACTTGTAATTAGTTTACAGATTATATTATTATTGTTGTTTTAAATAATTATTTTTAATTAAAAATTTTATGTTGTACATTAATTTTACTACTTGTTTTTCATAAAATTTAAGTTTTTAATATAATTTTATATGTTTTTTCATAATAAACAATATAAAAATAATATATTTTTCGAAACATGACATTTTAAAAAAAAACATAATATTTAAATAATATTACCAATTAATATAAAAATATTTCAATTAAAACTACTTATTAATGCCAAAAGATTTATATTTAATTTTTTTATATTTTTAAATTTATATTTATTAAATAATAATACAATTTTTAATTTTTTAAAAATTTTTGGGTACCATTGTAGATTTAAAATCAGATATTTAATAGGATATCTGGTTATATATCTGGATTTAACTATTTTATAAATGGATTTAAAAAAGAATATATAATTATATATTTGGATTTAAAAAAATACATATAAAGATATCCAATTATATATCCAGATCCAAGCTCTACATTATACTGTGTTATAGATTTCATAATCATTTCATGTAACGAACCCTGCGACGATCAATCAAGTAACAAGAGTTGCATTCTTATTATAATTATCTATCGAGTGCAATATTATTTGATATAATGTATGACACAGTCATTCTTTACAATTCGTGATCTTTTTCTATTCGACAATAATAAGATAATTCAAGCTTAAAATGTTTTCCCTGATAATTTATATCTGGTACAATAATTGTAAATGAAATGATCTTGTGATGACATTAACAAGATATATGATAAATGTAATTCCGTCCTGGTGTGACACAAGCGCATACGCATATGTACACATACCGTATTGCATTCATCACAGGCGTGCGTATTTTGCAATGACCTCCAAAACAAATGACACAATTTCGGCACTCCAAAATGCAATAGAAATATCTGAAGAAATCCAGACAATTTTCGATCAAACAAATTGTAACAAAGAGGTGATCAAGCCACTTGCGGAGTGTGTCAAGGAATCTAGTCTATGGTTGGTGGATCTGAACCCATCGGAGGAAAAATGCAAATTGGCATTTGAAAAATACATCAATGTTCTTCTTAAGATCAAAAGCTACGTAAATGAATTAAGCAGGCACGGAAACTTCAGCGAACGATTCCTCAAAGAGACAGAAGAAGACGTAGGTATAAGATATACATGCCCTGTGATCCTAGTTACAACTTAAAGCATAATTTTTACAAATTGATTTAGATTAAAACATTGCACGAAACTTGTATGATTAAACATCACGAAGCCATTCAAGAGTTTAGACTCTCGCTTAATCTCGATTACGATGCCCCTATCCGCAAAAATATCGAACGTGCATTCACAGACATAGTCCTGATGAATAAAGGCATAGAAGTACCTAATAGCGAATTGGAAAGAATTCGATTGGATCCTGAGTTAATCTGTGATGAAGATGATGAAGAACCGGAGACGAGAGGAAACAAGGAGCAGATCAAACGTCAGTTGTATGGTAGTCAAGAAGTTGCTGTCAAGAAGATCGAGGGTGAAAGTAGAAATTCTATTGATAAATACGCACTTTTTATGTCAAAGTTATCACATTGTAATCACATTGAAAAGTTGTAAGTATTACTACCTTATTTAAAAAAGTCGGTTTATGTGGAATTCTATTTATTATGTTCTATGTCGACAATAATTTGTGAATTTTCAAAAAATTTCCACCTTATTACATTTTTTAATTACTATCAATCGTAGCTATGGGACTCTTCTCATTGAGCATGATCTTTATGTCGTTACAGAATGGGCCAGAATCGGTAATCTTGAAGACTTTCTCCGAAGTAGTCATGAATTCTCATGGCCACGTAGGCTTAAGATTGCCGAACAAATTGCCAACGCATTAGAATTCCTCCATCGTGCAGAAATCTATCACCATAATGTGAAGAGGTATATACAGTACACTTAAAATTGCTTTTTACAATGCACTTTTTGTAGATATTGGGAGCTTGAGCAACTCTAAATTTTTTAATAGCCGAAATGTACTTTTGGACGAGCATTTGGATGCAAAACTAACAGGGTTTGACTCCAGTCGATTTAAACTGCAATCGACTACAAGTCATTACGAAAGCATTTCAAGATTGCGGTAAGTTACGCGCGAAAAGGTTTATTTTAAATTATAATAATTGCCTGAATCCAGAATTTTTAATATATTATGTTAATAATATTCGTCCAACAAATTTGGCAACTATTTGTCGACAATTCTTTAACTCTATCAAGATGGACAGCCCCAGAAAAATCGAAACAAAATTTTGTTCCCTATAGCAAAAAGTGCGATGTGTACAGGTTTGTTTCTCTGTACGATTCTTTAATAAATTTTCTCGTTCTTTAATTAAATGTGATAAAAATTTAAGCTTCTCCATTGTCTTGTGGGAAATTGGAACGCGTGAAAAACCTTTCAAAGAAATTGCCGATTTCGAAGTGAAGAAACATGTAATTGAGGGAGGTCGCCCAACACCGATTCCCACAGACGCGCCTCCAGATTACATCAAATTAATGAAGGAAGGTTGGTCAGGTGAATCAAAACGTCGTCCACACGTCCAAGACATGAGGGAAAGACTTCACAAATTGGTAAGACAAAATCGCGGTGGCTCTTCGTCTCCATTACCACCCTCTTTGTTGGACAACGAGTCGGTGGATCTTAAAAATCAAAGTCAATCTTTATTTCTACCATCAGACTGCAATGAAGCTGTAGATTCTGAGAAGCGAGTTCAATATCCACTTCCTTCGATTCCTGATGTAATTAAATTGCATTCGCAAAAGAAATATGCTGAAGCCTTTCAGTTTTTTCAACAATATGCTGAAAAAGAGAAAAGCGCAACAGCAAAATTTTACTGCGGCTGTTATTTGTATTACGAGAAATACGGTATTGCAAAAGATGAGGATAAAGCAATTGTTTATCTTCGTCAAGCAGCTGATGCAGGAATAGTAGATGCTCAATTTCACTATGCCAAAGTGTGTCTTCATGGAATTACCTATGATAGTGAGAACGGCTTTCGATATTTAAAAAAGGCTATCGAAAAGAATTACATACCAGCATTAGAAATGTGGGCACAAATATTGTATGATGGTAGTTTCGGACAACAAATAAATTTGAGTGAAGCATATAAGATTTGGGAACAAGCAGAAAGAAAGGGAAGCAAAAACGCGAAAGAAAAGTTAAAATTGTTTGACAAACAAGAATAAGATACTTATTGGTCCTTGTCTTTTAATTATATACATAAATGTGTATATTACATACATACAGTATACTGCAAAGGCAATTGTTATTTCAGATGCAAACTGTTATGTTTTTGTATTATTTTCTTCGAAATAACAGATGATACGTATTTGA